TTTACTTAAAAATCAAACAAAATCTTACCTCGTATGGAGTACTTTCCTCCATTTGGTAATGTTCTAAAAATAAGCAAGAAAGCAAAAATTAATTTATATAGCATAATATTTCTTACTAAAAAAACCTTGTTAGTTATGAAACATGGCATCATTTACATAGGACTCCTCCATGTTTTTGTTTGCCTTAAAATCCTCCTAGGCCCTAATCAACCTACACAATAGTCTAATTAAAAATTATTGAGTATTTACAGTGTGACATGAAGAGACACAAAGTTCAAACACAAATCAGCTGTGCTGAAAAGGAAGTTCACAAACTGCAAGACACTTTTCCACTCACGCATCTGACTGCTGATCAGTCTCAGAATTCTGATCTACATCGAGTCCCATAAATTTCTTTTGGGTCTTAAAAATACTTGTACATTTTAAGACTGTCTCAAAACTTTATATTAATAAACTGAAAATTTGTCTAAAATACATACCTTCGAAAACCTTCTGTAAGTCCTTCGCAGCTTCAGAACACTGCCTTTTGGCCTCGCCAGCCAGATCCGCCACTTTTCCTGAATTCAAAACTCTCTCTATATTGTCCTTTGCATCCTGAAGAAATAAGAAAAAGGAAGAATCTCTGGTAAACATTTTCCAAACTGGACAATGATGAATAATAACGAATCACAGAAATTAACATGTAAGAGAGACAATTGTTTTAGTTATACACACAATGCCCTTTAATAACAGCATTACTTCAACAAATCACATTAATGTGAAACGAGAGTCACATCCAAAGTACATCCATAAACTTGTAACTGAATTTTATTTAACATTTACTTAAAAATCAAACAAAATCTTACCTTCAATGCCTTTCTTGCCATTTTGGTAAGATCTAAAAATAAGCAAGAAAGCAAAAATTAATTTATATTACCATGTAATATTACCTGTTATATAGCATAATATTTCTTTCTAAAAAAACCTTGGTAGTTATGAAACATGGCAATACAGCAATACGAAATTAAAAGACATATTAAGATTGACTCTTGCAATGGAAAAACATGACTGATATATTTTCATAAATTCTAAATCCCAAATACTACATGAACACAAGTGGTCAGTTTGATATTTCATATCATTCGCTGTTAATCTTTACCCCAAGACACAATTATGAAATCTTCTGGACCGCCCCCCCCCCCCATCAGAAGAAAGACAGGATCCTGGAAAATGACCATGTGGCATGTTAAAATATAAAAATCCACACAAGTGAACTTGTGTTTATCTTCAGACACTGGAAACCGTTTTCAATATCCATGTGAACAAGAGCAGTATTACCAGAGTGTCATCGATCACAAGCAACTGCCATGACTGCTCAAGGTGAAGATAATGCCTGTACTCCAATACTGACACAAAAAATGGAATTAATATGAACTTCTCAAATGACTTATTATATATAACCAACATTTATTTAATTACTTTACTACCGAACCTACCTGTTCATATGTACTTTGAATTTGTAAATAGGATCTTGTCAACCTGTTAATCCCACCACAGGTTTGAAATCAATCTCTACCGTCAACAGACGTCCAGATTCTTCAAAACTTTCTTTATCACCAATATCACAGCCAGCGTAATGCGAACACCAAAATTTTTACAGCAACTTTACCCAGAGATTTCTCATTTGTGAAATAGAAAATATGCAACACTGATAATATATATATTTGGCCCTCAATATTTATCCTGCTTCAACGCCAAGCTACAGTCTAATTTTGCTTAGAACTTGACAATGACTATCGTGTTTGAATATTTAATTTCGCTCGTTTACCTGTATTATCTACAGGTCGCAAAAATACAAACGCTTGTATGTGATCCGTGGTACAACACAAGCCACAGATATTGAGATTAGAATCACATGCATCTTTCCTTAAACATTTTCTTGAAACGAAGTTATTTGCTAATATACTTACAAGAGAATGTTACACGTTCGATATTAGGCTAGGCGGCTAGTAGCGCCAGTGCGTCCCTAGCTTCCAATACGAATGGCGTCACCCGTGGGCTAGTTTTGGAGGGAAGAGCCGCGTGACTCTCTCCCTCTCTCGCAAACGTACCAAATTCTACGTCATAATATTTTCAAAAATTTAACTAATGTAAGAGAAATCACAATGCAATGTTTCCCATTAAATTACCCTGTCATTAATGCATCCTTTATGTAATCGATAGAAAATGACGGAGGCATGTTTAATCTGTTTACCTCAACCACACTTTTTCTCGAATGGAAGTTATTCGTAGAAAATATTATACTTCAACTAAAATTACACCCGGTCACAAACAGTTCTGTAGTACTTAGTTTCGCGTCATTACGCTGTATGGGTTCGGTTACTCACTGGCTAGCCTACGCAGTCATCGAGAATTACTTAATCTACCAACACTGATGTGATAACACGACACTGAGATTGGAATGTCACATCTTTCTCTAAACTATTTCCTGAATAGAAGTTATTCCTAGAACACTTAATACTTACAATACTTACAACTCCACCGCTTGGAGAACTTTACAAAACTGACGCGCTTGGCTTCCAACTAGTTGCGCGTCTGAGCGACGCGAAACCCCTCGCTTCCCCCACTCCTAGATCGAACGATAATATTATAGCGTTTTCTACAAAGAAAGAAAGAAATTTCAGAGAAAATACATTCAAAATGCATTAACTATAATAAGTTTGAGAAGCTGTACATCGTTATTTAACATATATGTGGTAACTTTTTAAGACCCTACTCCCATTATTGTAACGTATGTATATTACTTTTCAACAGCGTTGCCAAAGTTATTCCTCTAAAGACGAGTGTCTGAATTCACAATGGAGATAAAATTAATGTCATTTACCATTTGAACGTTGGATGAATTTATGAAGTTGAGGGGCGTACCAGTCTCATTACAATTAGCTATTGCATTCAAATCATATCAGACCGTGGCTAAACAGTGGATGTCAGCTGCACCTTGCAGGTGTCAATTTCGTTCGGTGATATCTCTACTTAATTAATCCACATTCAGAGTCCTTGTATTTTAATCTAATGTGTCATTGTAGGGTGTGTGTCTTGATCGCTTGGATATGGTGTTCGTGGTTTCAAATTCCACTCCAGACTTAAATGTTCTTCCTAGTCCCTATATTGTGCTGTTCTGTCTACGTAGAGATGCCTGGATGTGGGATAATCGACCGTCCAGGGAGGCCTACCAAACTTCTAAACTAATTGTTATTGTCATGGCGGTGATAAATGTCTGGTACAGATTGTGAGACTATGTTCCTTCGTATTTTAACTTTGTTGTGATAGTGGCAGGCATTTTACTGAAAAGGTCTTGA